TTGATAATTAGGTCCTTCCCGTTTCTCTGTGCAATGACTATTGTCACCTTGGTTATCAGAAGAGGAAGAATGAAGGGAAAAAATTCTGCTGCTATGATTGTGTTCCATGTCCAGAGGGGAAAATCTCCAAAGAGATGGGTAATTTGACAAAGTACTCTGATTTTTTTTGTTATAGAGATGAAGTTGAAATTTCAGACAGACTTCCACAGAAATCACTTAATACCTTCAGCTAATCTGTTTTTTGTTCAGGTTGTGCATTCATGTCATTTTACAGTGGTACCTCAGTACTCAACATTAATTTGTTCAAGATATAATGAGAACCAAAAATGAAGGTCTAGGACCGTGATGGCGAACCTATGGCACGCATGCCACAGGTGGCACACGGAGCCATCTCGGTGGGTACATGAGTGTTGCCCTAGCTCAGCTTCAGCACACATGTGCGTGCCGGCCAGCTGATTTCGGGCCTTCTGGTCCAACTGGAAGTCAGGAAATGAGCTGTTTCCGGCCTCCGGAGGGCCTCCAGGGGTGGTGGGGAAGGCTGTTTTCACCCTCCCCAGGCTCCTAGAAAGCCTCTGGAGCCTGGGGAGGGTGAAAAATGGGCCTTCCAGTCCCACCGGAAGTTGGAAAATGGGCCGTTTCCAGTCTCCAGAAGGCTTCCGGCAGGGTGGGGAAGGCCATTTTCACTCTTCCCAGGCTCCAAGAAAGCCTCTGGAGCCTGGGGGGGCGGTGAAAAATGGGCAGGCCCACTGTGCCATCGCATGCCAAAAGCAGGGGGGAGCATGGGGGGTTGCATGCACATGCGCAGGAGGGTGGGCACATTGAATTATGGATGTGGGCACGCGTGCCTGTGACCCCCCATGGTACAATGGCACATGACAGCAAAAAAGTTAGCCATCGCTGGTCTAGGACAACTCGGCACAGCCATCTCAGTGCAGCCAACTCACAGTGGGACATTTTGCCTTGGCCAATTTGCTACAGGACAAGCCACCGCAGGACAAGAGTTGCATTTATAGCAAAGAAATGGTGGAATTGAATCATTAAAGAAAGGATGCCAAAGGAGGGACAAAATGAAATGTGAATGACCAAAATTAAATTATTTTAAAAATTATTTTAAATACTTACATTGAATTGCTGAATTGTCCCGTGATGAGTTGTGAGTATGCCATGGCAAGTTGTCGCACCATGAATTTGCCATGGTGAGTTGGCCATGCTCAGTTGACCATGGCAAGTTGGGTGAGTACCAAACAATTCTTCCCCACAATGAATAATATAGTGAGTCACAATGCAGATAAAACTGACTAGTTCCAGCTTGTGTGTTGAGTACTGAACATACAATGAATACCGGGACAAATTTTTCCTGTCAAAATGCCAAATTCAAAGAGTTTCAAAGCAGTTGAGTACCAAAGTATCACTGTATTTGGAAGTGGAATGAGACAATGAAGAAGTTCATTGAAAATTATATGATTCTAAGCATGGCATTAATTCTCTGTCTCATGAATCTAAATTTTTTTTCTTTTTAGACATTCTGACTTACTTTCAGTGCTCTGAAAATAACACACACATCATTACAAAGTTGGATGCATCATGAAAAAATTATTTGCTTGTCTTATAAAGAATATTTAGGACTCAGTTTAGTCACTGTTGCTATTTTATTTTTCCTGATTACAACACGTGTCTTTTTCTTTTTTCAATTTCAGACATGGTATCTTGTGTCCAATGTCCAGAAGATCAGTATCCAAATCAAGGAAAAAATGGATGTCGCCTGAAAAGGATAAACTTTCTGTCTTATGAAGAACCTTTAGGGTATAGTTTAGCTTCTCTTGCTGCTGTGTTTTTCCTCATTACAACATGGGTGCTGGGAACTTTTATGAAGCACAAAGACAGTCCGATTGTCAAAGCCAATAACCGGGATCTCACCTACACTCTCCTCATTTCCCTTCTGTTCTGCTTCCTCTGCCCTTTGCTCTTTCTTGGACAACCTGGGAGAGTCACCTGTCTCCTCAGACAGTCTGCATTTGGCCTCACCTTCTCATTGTGCATCTCCTGTGTGTTGGCCAAAACTATCCTTGTTTCTCTTGCCTTCAAGGCCACCAAGCCAGGATCTCGGATGAGGACATGGGTGGGGAAAAGACTGGCTGTTTCTATTGTCCTTCTCTGCTCTCTATTCCAAGCAAGCATCTGTATTGTTTGGTTATCCACCTCTCCCCCATTCCCAGAATTAGACATGCATTCAACAACTGAAGAAATGGTCCTACAATGTAATGAGGGATCAGTTGTTATGTTTTATTGTGTCCTGAGCTATATGGCCCTCCTTTCACTTGCCAGCTTCATTGTGGCTTTCCAGGCTCGTAAACTGCCTGACAGCTTTAATGAAGCCAAGTTCATCACCTTCAGCATGTTGGCTTTCTGCAGTGTGTGGGTCTCCTTTGTCCCGTCATACCTGACTACTAGGGGAAAAGCCATGGTGGCTGTGGAGATCTTCTCCATTTTGTCCTCCAGTGCTGGGCTCCTAGGTTGCATCTTTTTCCCCAAGTGTTACATTATTGTATTCAGGTCTGATTTAAATAACAAGGAGCAACTGATAAGAAGATGTGTTTAAATGCTTTTTCTTTTCTTTTCTTTTCTTTTTGTTATGTTTTTAAGTTGAGAGGAGAAATATCAAAATTCAAATATATGTTTAAGTTATTCAGATAGGTGTAGTTTTACCATTCTGATTTACTTGGAAATCTGGATTTATGGGAAATCCTGTTCTCTATTCCAACAACTTCCAAGGGAGGCTCACAGAACTTAGTGGGGTAATATGTTTTGAGGAAAGCCAGAGACCAGCTAGTCTCAAGTCAATCAATGAAAGTTTTCTAAGCATCCATATAAATTGTCTGAAATGACACAATTGCATTTAAAGAAGTATCAAATTTAAATGTAAGTACAGAGGTAAGGGACGTGGTAGCTCAGTGGCTAAGACGCTGAGGTTGTCGATCGAAAGGTCAGCAATTCAGCTGTTCGAATCCCTAGTACTGCATAACGGGGTGAGCTCCCATTACTTGTTCCAGCTTCTGCCAACCTAGCAATTTGAAATCACATAAAAAATGCAAGTAAGAAAATAGGGACCACCTGTGATGGGAAGGTAACAGTGCTCCATGCACCTTTGGCGTTTAGTCATGCTGGCCACATGACCACAGAGATATCTTCGGACAGCGCTGGATCTTCAGCTTTGAAACAAAGATGAGCACTGCCCCCTGGAGTTGTGAACAACTAGCCATAGCTAGTTGTTTCCCTTGTTGCATCTGAACCATTGTCATGCTCCTGAAACTCTGCCACTTTTATTCTGAGGTATCTTGCAACTGAGTGTCTGTGTGTGTCTGTGTCTGAGATATGTGGTGTGTGTGTGTGTGTGTGTGTGTGTGTGTGTGTGTGTGTGGTCTGAGACAGGACAGATGGCAAGATGAAATCAAACCAAATATGCAAAAGACTCCAAAATTTCAAGAGTTTTCAAAGGCCAACAAAACAGAAGGCCGTTCTACAGTTTTGGCTCTGCAATTTTCTCTCCTTGCTTCAGCTCTCCAAACCTCCTTAAAACAAGGGATGGTCAACAATCTCTCTCTGTGATATAATTGGTTGAGCCAAGATTGTCCATATCTATCTGGAAGCCATTTCATGGAGAGCATTACAGGTGCCTAAAATTGTGCCTAAAATTGGTTGTGGAAATCAGTTAGTGATCCATGCAAAACTTGTATTATGTTGTCAGGAACCTGAAAGTATACAGGTTGTGCATTTTGAACTTACTGCAGTTTTGAAGCCCCAACTAGAACTGAGTTGATATGTTTTGAACAATCGTTCATTTGAGTGAGTGAAATTTCCATGCAATATTAGCCACTGTTGGATGTATCTTCCATGAATTTGTCAAATGCCTGTTAAAGTCATCCCAACTGACAATCATCTTTACATTTTGTGCTGGTGAAAGTGTACAATAACTGTCCTGTGGCTTGGATAGATATAGGAAAGGATAACTATTGTGTTATTGTTATAGAGCCGAGGTGCCACAGTGGTTAGAGTGCTGTACTGCAGCTACTTCAGCTGACTGCTAGTTCAGCAGATCAGCAGATCAAATCTCATCGGCTCAAGGTTGACTCAGCCTTCCATCCTTCCGAGGTGGGTAAAATGAGGACCCAGATTGTTGGGGGCAATATGCTATTTAGTATACTGTCAATTGTTGTAAGCCACCCAGAGTCCTCAGAGAGTGGGTGGCATAGAAATATAATAAATAAATAAATAAATAAATAAATAAATAAATAAATAAATAAATAAAATCAATTTCATTAATTTATGGTCATAATTCTACTCTGAGCACCTTCAAAGCAAACCAGTGTTTGTGAACGCCATGTAAATTTTTTCAGATGAATGGGAAAGTTGGGAGATAAATGGGGAGATAGAGATTTTAAAAAATTAGGTGATAAATGAGTCGGTGTGAACATTCCTCATTGCTCTTGGTGTTTTCTCATTGAACTTTTTCCAGTTCACTGTCCTCATTCCTCATCTGCATTCAGCCCTATATTGCCTCCTTGTAGAGGCAGATCTTTCAAAATAAAGATGTCAACCCTGCAGAACAACCCAACTCCAATGGAAAACTTCGAGACAGGGATCATCTCAAATCTTCCATTTATTAGAGCAGGTATACTGGCACATCTGGGAAAACCCGAATCTGAGAGTTCCATGTTTTCCCTCAGTAAATCAAAACCCCAAATCCAGCCCCTGCACCCATCAGTCCATCACATGGCCCAATCACCATCCGTCCCAAGTTGAGCCACCACTACAACCACTCCTCATCCAGATGCAGGAACACCATGACCTTGACCGAAAAGTAGAATACTATTATGTCTAACTACAATCTCTCTACTAAATCCCCCCTCCTACTTTCCCAAGCGCAAGAAGGTGGCAGCGTGGAAGCTTCTGGTGTTAATATGGCTTCCCAAGCTGACAAAAGAGACACAAATGAATAATTTTTAAGTCTTTGTTTTTATTAAGTGCTCCTTGGAATTCAACTCAGGTCTCAGCACAATAATGTAAAATTTGGGGAAAAATATACAACCCAGTAGTCCAAAAGTGGAAGCTAAAATGGAGAAGATCTCCACAGCTATCATATACTTCCCTTTGATGCTCAGGTAGGCTGGAATGAAGGAAAACCAAACAGCACAAAAAATCAGCATGCTGAAGGTGATAAACTTGGCTTCATTGAAGTTATCCGGCAACTTCCTAGTTTGGAAAGCCACCATGAAACTGATGATGGACAAAAGGCCCAAGTAACCCAAGACAAGATAAAACATGTTGGAAGAACCTTCATTGCATTCAGCTATAATTTCAGTGATTAGAGTGTTATGGTCCAGATCTGGGAAAGGAGGAGAGATGACCAACCATACTACACAGATAGTTGCTTGAAAAAGGGAGCAAGAAAGAATGATACATCTGCCCAATTTTTTTCCCATCCACTTTCTCAAGCTGGAGCCTGGTTTGGTGGCCATGAAAGCCACAATGACTGTGATGTTTTTGGCCAAGATGCAAGAAACCACTGCTGAGAATACGAAGCCAAAAGCTGCTTGCTGGAATAGACAGGTTATTGTCCCGGGTTGTCCAATAAATAAAAAAGAGCAGAGAAAACAAAGAAGGAGGAATCCAAGGAGGGTGTAAGTGAGTTCTCTATTGTTCGCTTTGACAATTGGAGTATCTCTGTGCTTGATGAAAATTCCTAGCAAGAAAAGTATGAGAAGGGAAAAAAATAGAGCAAGAAATGCTAAACAAGCTCCTAGGGGATCTTGATAAGATAGGAAAATTATAGTTTTGAGAACGCAGTGGTCATGCTGTCTGCTTGGATATTGATCCTCTGGACATTTGAAGCAGTCATTCATATCTGAGGAAAACAACAAGAAATCATACATTTTCTGGTTCTTCCTCCATTGGCTGGTCCTTCATCAACCCAAACATTTGCTATACAGACTTACAACAGTTCATTTAATGATTGCTCAAAGTTACAATGGCACTGAAAAAAGTGATTTGTGACAGTTTTTCACATTTAATGACCTTTGGAGCATCCTCATGGTCATGTAAGGGACACGGTGGCTCAGTGGCTAAAACACTGAACTTGTCGATCAGAAGGTCGGCAGTTCAGCGGTTCAAATCCCATTCTTCATATGTTTTAGTCTCCAGTTCCCTAATCATCCCAGTTGAAAACTTATAAAGAAGTAGGCATTTTTTTTTTTGGAAGAGTAGAAAGGGGAGGCTATCTATATTTAGAAATTGCATACCTTTCTGGTTTGAAATTTTCCCTTCTGGGCATGGAACACAGTTGAAACAGCAAAATTTTTCTCCTTCTTTCTTTTCTTTCCAAAAACCAGGAAGACAGGAAGGGTTGCACACAGAAACAGGCCGTATCTATCCATAGAAAGAAAAGGGATTTCAGGACTGGCCAATGGTGAAGAAGAATAGTATTCCATTTTTTTAGTTATTCAGTAGCTCTGTGATGCAACCTTCAGACAGTTATTATCAGCTGAGCAGATATACAGTAGCTACAGATGGAACTAGATCAGAGGTGGGATTCAGCTGGTTCTGTCTGGTTCAGGAGAGCCAGTAGTGGCGACTGTGGGAGGCTCCGCCCACCCACCCGGACATAATGCATGAGTACTGCACATGCGCGGAAGGCTATGCACATGCGCAAAGGTCGTGCGCGCGCACGTTTACATTTGCGAACCGGTAGGGAAGGTAAGCGAATCCCACCTCTGAAATAGATATACAAACCATTCTATGATTTTTAGCACATAATTTCTATACTTTATTCTAATATTCTTTTTCTTAACAATGGTGGATTCTTTTAATGAATTAAGAAAGATAAACCTATATCTCCAACTGGTCCAGAATGCGGCCGCGCGGGTAATTATGGGAGCTGCATGGCGCTCCCGCATAACACCGCTCCTGCATGAGCTGCACTGGCTCCCAGTGGTCTTCTGGGTGCGCTTCAAGGTGTTGGTTACCACCTTTAAAGCGCTCCATGGCATATGACCTAGTTATCTTCGAGACCGCCTTCTGCCATAGACGACCTCCCATCGACCCGTGCGCTCCCACAGAGAGGGCCTCCTCGGGGTGCCATCAGCCAAGCAATGCAGGCTGGTGACCCCCAGGGGGAGGGCCTTCTCTGTGGGGGGCTCCCACCCTCTGGAATCAGCTGCCCCCAGAGATAAGGAGAATCCATGACCTCCGTGCCTTCCGCCGTGCCCTTAAAACTTACCTTTTCCAACAAGCCGGGCTGGCCTAACAAATCCTTTAAATGATTTTAAATTTGTTTGTCTTTTTAAATTTTGGGCCAAATTGAGATATTTCCTTTTAATCTGTTCTTAATGTATTTATTATGTGTTTTTATTTGGCTGTACACCGCCCTGAATCCCTAGGGAGAAGGGCGGTATATAAATTTGAAGTAAAATAAATAAAATAAATAAATATAAATCATAGATAACTAGATAACCATGGAGCCAAATGCATCAGACAAATCCATAAAATCACAACTTTACAAACCTTGTATTCTGCTATATTTTAATCAATTTATAGCTGCATCAATGGCTTTCTATCTTCCTAAATGTGATTCTAGTCCTAAATGTGATGCTAATAAAATTAAGATCCAAAAGAAAAGATGGCTGCCCCTAGGGCTGACATCTACTATACTTCACCTGGTTAAATCCTGGGTGCCAAACAATCTTATCCTCCTCTATAGTTAAATATCTCCCATCAGAAATGTAAGGATTTACCCGTCCAATTTTAAGCCTGTGGAAGGAGTTGTTTGGGAAGACAACCAAATTAGTAATTTCAAGACCAGTTGGCATTTCTCCATGTTTATCCAGGAATATAGTATCTCCAGCAGAATTGTTGAATGAAAGATCTTGAAGAAATTGATGAAGCTAGTTATAAGCAGGGGGAAAAGTTTAGTTCACCTTTGGTTTTCTGTGTGGCAGTGTTTTTTTTTTTTCCTTTAAAAATATATATGTAGCTTAGATACCTTCTTTATTGTTGTTGATATTCTGTACATTGTAAGATGCAGTAATCTTCACATGAATTAATTGTGGATTAAACTTTTATTTCTCAGAGACCGGATTAAGTTCCCACATTACATTCTGTAGGTCCATGAAAGGTAACCTGCTATCGTGCTATTGGACTTCAGTACTTTTGAAGCAGAGGTGGTATTCAGCTGGTTCGAACTGGTTTGGGCGAACTGGTAGCGCCGACAATCAGTTGGCCCTACCCACCTGCCCCGTTTTATCCTGTCCTTTATAACCTGCTATTGTGCTATTGGACTTCAGTACTTTTGAAGCAGAGGTGGTATTCAGCTGGCTCGAACTGGTTTGGGCGAACTGGTAGCGCCGACAATCAGTTGGCCCTACCCACCTGCCCCATTTTATCCTGTCCTGCTTTGTAACTCATCTCAATTGTGCAGCACATCTTATTTCCCCCCTCGCTGTTCTAGCTACCATTGCTGACTTGGAAGGTAAACAGCTGAGCTTCTAAATGCTCTATTTTTAGCGCTGCTCACCAAACCAGTTGTTAAACTGGCAGCATTCCACCACTGTTTTGAAGACAAGTCGGGGTCCTACATGATTAAACTTTGGAACAAAACTCAGAGAAACCTGATTTACTTGAACCCTTGGAAGCACATTGGGTGACTGAGGGTGTGCGTCAGCCTGAGCAACGTCATAGAGCTGCTGTTGTTAGGATAAATTGGTGGAAGGGACATTATGTTACCGTTAGCTTCTGAATGGGACCGTGTGCTGAGATAGGAAGTTCAAAGGACAATCTAGGAAAATGGGACTTCCCTGTAGAAGACACTCTTTGTGAATGTGGAGAAGAACCATCCATCTCACATATGTTATGCTGCATATAATGTCCTTTAACAGGTATGGAGGAAGACCTCACACTGGCAAAAGAAAATACTGTCATTGTGGCCTGATACTGGGAGAATGTCATTTATTTTTAATCCTATTTATTTTATGTATTTTTTACACATGCTATATTTCTACAACCTGTTTTATACCTATTGTGCTTGCTCAGTGTTGAATGTTTTATGTCTATAATTTGAAGGTGCATCTGACCTGAATAAAGAAAAGCCTCTGAATAAAGGATACAACAGACAACCAATAAATTATTAATATAAAAAGTAAGCACTGTAAATCTACATCCGCTATTCATATCTTACAGAAGATTTCTATAAGAATAAATTATTTTCAGTTCCTATGGAGATTACATCATCTCATCCTTGATATGGATGACTAGAGGTGACATGATAGCAGTGTTCCAATATTTGAGGGGCTGCCACAAAGAAGAGAGGGTCAACATATTCTCCAACACCTGAAGGCAAGACAAGCAATGGATGGAATAGAATAGAATAGAATAGAATAGAATAGAATAGAATAGAATAGAATAGAATAGAATAGAATAGAATAGAATAGAATAGAATAGAATAGAATAACAGAGTTGGAAGGGACCTTGGAGGTCTTTTAGTCCAACCCCCTGCTTAGGCAGGAGAGTTCTACTTCACTTCAGACAAATGGTTATCTAATCTTTTCTTAAAAATTTCCAGTGTCGGAGCATTTACAACTTCTGGAGTCAAGTTGTTCCACTGATGAATTGTTCTAACTGTCAGGAAATTTCTCCTTAGTTCTAGATTACTTCTCTCCTTGATTAGTTTTCACCCATTGCTTCTTCTCCTACCCTCAGGTGCTTTGGAGAATAGCTTGATTCCCTCTTCTTTGTGGCAACCCCTGAGATATTGGAACCAAAAATGGGAGCCAATCAAGAACAGAACCAACTTAGAACTAAGGAGAAATTGCCTGACAGTAAGAACAAACAACCAGTGGAACAGCTTTGCCTTCAGAAGTTATGGGTGCTCCAACACTAGAGGCTTTTAAGAAAGGATTTGGCAGCCATTAGTCTAAAATGGCATAGGGTTTCCTGCTTAAGCAGGAGGTTGGATTAGAAGATCTCCAACTCTGTTATTCTGTTATTCCGATATCTTAAGGTAAAGGTTCTCCCGCAAATGTGTGCTAGTTATTTCCGGCTCATCTCCATTTCAAGAACCAGCACTGTCTGAAGATGTCTCCATGGTCATGTGGCCAGCATGACTAAATGCCAAAGACACATGGAGCACTGTTACCTTCCCACCAAAGGTGGTCCCTATTTTTCTACTTGCATTTTTTGTGTTTTCGAATTGCTAGGTTGGCAGAAGCTGGGACAAGTAATGGGAGCTCACTCCATTACTCAGCGCTAGGGATTCGAAATGCTGAACTGCCGATCTTCTGATCGACAAGCTCAGTGTCTTAGCCACAGAGCCACTGCATCCCTTTTGATATCTTAGTACCACTTAATTAATTCAACAGAAGAAAAATTACCTGCCAGGGCTTTAGTTTCTGAAGACTAAAATCTTGGTGATCCATCTTTGTTTTCCTTTTCAGCTGAGTTGAAGAGATTTTATGTAGAGCATGTGCCACAGCATAGATGGCATTATAAATACTGTAACTATGAGCAGCCATGGCCATTTCAAAAAAAGAACCGGGAAGACGCTCCAGCTTTTCCTCTCCAGTACATGTCTTATTGACGTTCAATGTTCCAGTGGAATTTGTGAAAAGACACCCAAACGTTTGTTCCCAAAAATCCTTGAGAAAGATATCTCCTTGCGTCTCAAATGGTTGAAGCCTCTGAAGAAATGTATGGAATCCCTGAACTTCATTGGACTGAACTGTCAGAGAAATGGCTCCCCCAAACTTTTGCAAACGCCAGCCTTGCTGGAAACTCATTAATGCAAAATCAATCTGGGCAGTCATGATCCACACTTTCCCACCAGGAATAAGTTCTTCAGGTAGACTACTGACTGTTTCTATCATTAAGGTCAACCAAATAAAGGAACTCGTTTCTCCATAAACGATAAAGACATTTGCTTTTCCTTGCATCATGTGTAGGTTATATTTTTCAGCTGTCTCCAATGTGTCTTCATACTTGTAAATAAAAGCTTGTTTTGGAGGTCTTTCGATGAAAGCTGAACAGATCCCATTCTTGGAAAACAAGACCTGCAAGCTTTGCAGGAAAAGCGTTCCACTGTTATCATCTACAATGAAAAGGCCAACCCAAGTCCATCCGAAATGTTGTAATACTTGGATCATCCCCAAAACTTGATGGGCTTCATTAGGGACAATGCGGTAAAAGGAAGGAGTTTTATATGTCTTTTCTGGGACAAAAGAGCCGTAGGTAATCTACAAAAAACCAAAGGAATAAAAATATAGAAGTCAACAACAATGCACTACTTGACTCTGTTGTTATATCCTCAAACCCCCAAAACTTTAACCTTAAACTATCTACTTTGACCTCACCACATTCCTAAGATGTCTGTAAGGGGTGCATAAGTGCACCAGTGTGCCTTCCATCCTTGTTCTACTGTCCCCATTTATTCATATCGATTTCCTGTATTAATATCCATGTTTATACTTATTTCTGTTATCTCGTACATGTTTTATAAATAAAATAAATAAACAAAAAAGAAAGTCACTGGACCGGTGGATGATTTTCAATAGGTGCCTTGTTATGCATAGTGTGCTGGCAACTATTTTAGTTCATAGTTCATGTGCTTAGTGAAAATGAACGTAATGGGGGGGGGGAGAAAAAAATCTGAATTTAGTAAAGTTAAAAAATGACCTCTAGTTATTTCCCACAAGCAGAGAACTAATTTTCCTGTCTCTAGTTTTGAGGTATGTTTGATCCCGTATACCTAACATGTTTAATTTTTAACATTTAAATTTTGTACACACTCTCTCCCCTTATCACTTAACGACTAAATTCTATAGTCATTGATTATGAATATTCTGAGAGACAAATTGATATGTGAAATGAATGTTGATATACTTCACTGACTTTAGGAAATTAGCAGAATGATCTCTATAGGCTCCCTTCGTATAAAAAGTATGATTTATTTTTTTACAATATACTTTTTAATATATTAGTTAGATCTCCTGCCATGAGTCTAATATATTCCTTTTCCAAATATGTTGAGTTTAATATTTGCACAGTGCTGATTGATCTGAACAGTATGTTGGTTTCTTTTTACTGTATCACTAAGATACATCCTGTCGCCAATGCAGAGTTTTATTCAGCAGATATATTCTCATTGTGCCCAGAGAGAGAAATAGCCACCTCTACCTAGGATCGAACTCACAGCTCCTGATTGTGAGGTGAGAGCTCCACTTCTAGGCCACTGCACCACTGTGTCAGTCTTTAGATTTTTCCTAATATCAGGCACTTGCCTGCCCATTGTTAAAAAATGACTAGTATTAACATAGAAAAGAAAGCTCTATTAGGGCTTTCTCTAGGTATTTCTATGGGTCTGGAGACCCATAGAAATAGCCTTATATTACTCTCAGACTGTATAAGGGGGCCATATTACTGATGCAGGTGTAACTTCAGGTATACTGAACAGAGGAAATGAAAAGTATTTTTGACTCCTCTAGTGCAGTCAAAGACAAGTCATTATAAATAAAGCTGAAGAGAAGACCTGAAAGAGACCAGGAGATGCACATAAGTAAGAAACTGAGAGCAGAAATAACCCATATGGAAGCACAAACAGAAAAAGAGGGGCTCACTCAACAATTTTGTAGTTGACTGTAGCCTAGAGGGCAACAAATGAAGCAATTGGCCAATCTGAAATGTTAAACACTGTAGAGTCTTTAAAATGTTAGCAAAGGAGATGGGATGACTACTGGGCTCTTTAGATATGAGTGTGGTAATTAATTCCTTTTTCATTCAGATATGCCCCCATAATTCTGCCACAAGAAGTTTGGGAATAGCAATAGCACTTAGATTTAGATATCCCTTCACAGTGCTTTTACAGCCCTCTCTAAGCGGTTTACAGAATCAGCATATTGCCCCCAATGCAGGGGTGAAATCCAAAATTTTTCCCTACCGATTCTGTGAGCTTGGCTTGATAGGCGTGGCAGGGGAAGGTTTTTGCAAAATTTCCATTCCCACCCCTCTCCAGGGGAAGGATACTGCAAAATCTCCATTCCCTCCCTACTCCTGGGGGAAGGATATTGCACAATCTCCATCCCCACCCCATTCTGGGCCCAGCCACAGGTGGTATTTGCCGGTTCTCTGAACTACTCAAAATTTCCGCTACAGGTTTTCCAGAACTTGTTAGAACCTGCTGTATTTCACCCCTGCCCCAATGCTAAGAGAAAGAGGAAACAGGAGGCATGGGGAAATACCCAGCTGCCTTTGAAATGTTTTGAGGGAACCCTGGTGCACTCTGAGCTTGGTTTCATTACCCAAACTAGGCAACATCGTCTCTAGCACTGATGATGATACCTAGTTTGGTTAATGAAACTCCTGCAAGAAAACAACCAAGCTCAGCGAGCACCAAGGACTCCTCATTTCAACCGTGAGCTACAAACAATTGCCTTTATCGAAATGTTTTACCTGTGGGATTTTGTAGAGGCTCAAGAGGTCTGCCATGCCCATGGAAACATCATGGCCAATCCCTCCAATGACAGCTATGACATTTTTCTCCATCCCACATTGGAAGTTGGGGACAAACCGGTCAGCTTTGGAAAGCAGATCCAAGATATTGCGATAGACTGACCTTGCATCATAATAGCTGTCATAAATATGGCATCCAAGGGTGGCATTGGGCAAAATGTGGGTATCCTTATTGATCTCATTTACAGCAAAGACCAAGGCTAGCAGATGCTGGTAGAACTTAGTGATCATGCTATGTATCAACACAGAAATATATTGCAGTTTTAGTAGCGTTCGTCTTTCTACTATACAAAACAAATGCTTGTTTGTTTGAACTCTCTTCCAGTCCAACTTTATATTTCCATTCTAAAGTAAAATAAAGACACTCTGCCCAATTTTATGCTTTCCAATTATTTCTACCTCTGAGAACTCACCTTATTTTACATTCATGTAATGGTGTAATCTATTACTGTAATATGTTTCTTACAAAATGTTTGCAGCAGAATAATAAACCAGTTTGGTATGATATCTAAACCATGACTATACATGCAAATGAATATTATACAATCAGAATTCTGGAAACAATGAAAACAGAATCCTCTGCCCAAACCACTTTCTTCATACTGTCAAGGGCAGCTCCATGTAATAATAATTTTCAATAAGAATCAGAAAAAAACGACTTCTCAAAAATATGGAGAAATGTTGAGTTCAGTCCTTTCACTGTGCCTTCAGCCATTCCTTCTATGGAGTTAATCATGACGATCTTTTCCATCGCCACCATTTAATCATTATTATAATAATAAGAATGATTGAATCTGTCATCTGCACCTCCATAACTGTCTGGTTTGGCTCTGCAACCCAACAAGACAGACACAGACTTCAAAAAATAATTAGAACTGCAGAAAAAATAGCTACCAACCTGCCTTCCTTTGAGGACTTGTATGCTGCACAAGTCAAAAAAGTGAAAATATCTACAGACTTGTCACATTCTGGACATCAATTGTTTCAACTTCTACCCTCAAAATGACACTATACCAAAACAAGGACACAAGGACAGTTTTTTCCCAAATGCCATCACTCTGCTTAACAACTAATTCCCACAACACAATATTAAGACTGTATTACTACTATTCTTTTCTTCCTTACTAGTATCTATCTCTTCCCACTTATTACTACTACCATGTTGCTTGTATCTTTACAATTATATTGTTTTTATTTGTTTGCTAGTACGATTTGATAGCTTATTAGTAACCTTGACTATCACTAAATGTTGTATCTTTTTATTCTCAATGAATATATTTTATTCTCGTTATGTACACTGACAGCACATACACCTAAAACAAATTCTTTGTGTGTCCAATCACATTTGGCCAATAAAGAACTCCACTCCACTCCACTCCACTCCACTCCACTCCACTCCACTCCACTCCATTCCATTCCATTCCATTCTATTCTATTCTATTCTATTCTATTCTATTCTATTCTATTCTATTCTATTCTATTCTATCATTGTAATTCCTTCAACACTGTGAGTAAACTGTGGCTGAAACCCATTTTTATATTACAAAGGTTGAATTGAAAATAAAACTCCTTACACTGGAAGATCAAAACTTAGCTCCTGCAAGGGGTGTTGCATGTAGTCAACTTCACTTAAAATATACATTATCTGAGACAGCATTCCCCCTATGAAGAGATCACCAGATTGATACCGCTCGTGAGGAACGGGGAAAGGAATTGTCGTGGGGCACTTCATTTTAAGTAGCTAACATGCTGTAGAAAGACTTTTGAATTGGCTTATGATATCTGAGAGGGAGGATTCTTCGTAAGCGGAGTTTCTCCTGTGATCAATCTGCCTGAGTAGCAGGTTGGACTAGAAGACCTCCAAGGTCCCTTCCAACTCTGCTATTCTGCTCAGGAGCTGCAATTTAACTAAACTCAGCATCATGAATGTCAAGAGAATTATTACAACATTCGATCATAAAGGTCAAGCACATTGTACAGTTTTGATCTCACAACTGCACAAGAAAGAGATAACATTCTTAACCGTTAAAATGGAGAATCTGTTCCTAACCCACTAGCATTAAATGACACCCACAGAAGAGTTTAGAACCCGTTTTGGTCAGGCATCAAGCTCTCAGTTTCAGAAAGAAAATACATTTTACCCTGTAATTATCTCCTGTCTTGCCAAGTGTATCACTTCATTATCATTATAAACCATTTTTATTGGTCCTTCAGATATCCACCGTGTTTATTGGATAAACAACAAATCAGGAAAAGGCAGGTGGCAGGGTTGTAAAATAGAAGGAATGTGTGACAAAAAAGGGGAAAATGGACAGGGAGAAAAAAGAGTAGATGTTGGGGTCAATCAGGAACATTGTCTGAAATCTTATTTTTGCTTGTTGGCCATGAAGGAGCAGAAGTGACTTCAATTCAGATCTGGAAGGGAGGGGGGTGAGAAATAATAACACTCAGTTAGTATCCCAATACTAATTGTTACCCAGTGGAATATTTCTAATTATAGTAATTGGCCCATCTCTCTCAGATGCTCGCTGTCTTTCAGAAGCAAATAAGCAAAATCTGAAAACGTCTTTTTAATTTCTTGTGTTCAGAAAGCCAGGTCCCGATATGAGGAAGTGGAATGGGGGAAAAAGACATGTCAACTCTACTCTTCCTGATCTTCTTTTCAAGCAAACATGTTTATGGCATGGCTGTCAATGTTGCCTCCATTCCCTGATTTAGACATGTACTCAATAATGAAATAATCAATTCTTCAATGCAACGAAGGGTCAATGTCAATAGCGTGTTTCAATTTAGTTTGCTACCAGTTCACTTGTGCATGCGTGTGCCACTACCTGCCGCCGCCGCTACAGGTTCGCTTGACCCAGGGTGAACTGGTAGCAACCCACCACTGGTCAATGTTTATGTTTCTATAGTGTCCTGTCCTATCCAGTCCTCTTTTCATTTGGCAGCTTCATTTTGTGGTTTTCCAGGTTCATAATCCACCTGATTGTTTTGACGAAGTCAGGTTCATCTCCTTCAGCATGTTGGCCTTCTGCAGTTAGTCTCCTTTATTTTGACATACATACCTAAGTACCAAGAAAAAAAATCATGGTGGCTAGAGAGATCTTCTCCATCTTATGCATTACTCAGTTGTAGTTTTTTTCTCTAAAATTAATTTAAAAATAATAAAATAAAATATTAAATTAAAATAAAATAAAATAATTAAATTAAATTAAAAAAACAAACCAAATAAAATAATAATAAAATAAATAATAAAATAATAATACGATATGATAATAAAATTAAAAATATAAAATAAAATAAAAACAATAAAATTAAATAAAATTAAAAATATAATAAAATAATAAAAATAGCTCTGATAAAAGTTATAATTTGTTTTCACTGAAATCTATAGTCTGAATCTTTCTATTCAGACTTTTGCTGTCAAGATCTTTTTTCCTTATTTTATTATAATCGCCAAGTAGCAAACTTGATTAAGAGCCAATTGAACAGAATAATTTACAGCACGGTGGAGGATATATGAATGAATCTGACTTCACAAACCATATAACAAAATCTGGCCCCTGACAGTTATACTCATAGAAACTGAACCATAATCATGTGATATTAAGAATACATATAATAAACTAGAATTGGCTAAGTACCTTGTTCAATAGGAAGTTATTAATACTAAGTTATTAATACTAAGTCTGTACTACTATTAATCTTCTCATCATTCCCACCACCCTAAAAAAAATCTCTTTGACAAAAAAAAACCCAAAACTGGCTACATAACTAACTTTAAAAACTGCTACAAAACCTTATGCCACCAGATAAAGGCAGAATGCACCAATTACCACAGAAAACAAGAGGAGAACTTTCTACACACAAAATCCACCCGTGCCTTCTATAATTTTCTAAACAACAAATCTGAAGACTTGAGATCCATCCACCCCTAAAAGGGACTAATGGGAAAGACTAATGATGAAGCCATTAAGGCCAACCTCTTCAACACATTCTTCAATTCAATCTTTGTAAACAGCAATGGCTCATGCCCCACATTTCCTGTGTTCATATTCATGTTTATACTTATATCTGTTATCTTGTATGTGTTTGACTAAATAAATAAATAAATAAATAAATAAATAAATAAATAAATAAATAAATAAATAGAATGCATGAATGAATGAATGAATGAATGAATGAATGAATGAATGAATGAATGATGGGTACGGATCCTGTTCAGAGTTGACCAATTCTGGCGAGGAAGTTCAAAATCTGGCACCTTTTGTGTAGGGTCATCTATGTAACTGCCTGTATCTTCGTGTTCAGCAGCCCATTTGGCTTTCCACTGTGTGTTGATGTCAAAGTTGTTAGATAGCTGTTCAGCAAGTTGTAATTTTGTTGGACTCCTTCACTAAGGCTTCTTGCCTTCGTAGAGCTGGTGGTGCAATGTAGCTCAGGACGAGGAGCCATTTTGTTTATTCGTGGCCATTTATTTAGAGAGCCAGGAGTTCTAGAAAGATGTCTGACTGAAAAATGTTGTTAATGCCAATTCTTCAATGTAGTCTGACTGCCAATTGTTGCTAGTCATTTGGTTCACACCTCCGTGCTATCCAGGGTGCACCACGAGGAGGCGAACTAGCATCACACCCTTTCTGAAAGGTAATCCTCTGTTTGCAGAGTTTTGCCACACAATCTTCCATCACTAAGCTGGAGGGAATCTAGGAGTTGAAGTCCACCCATCTTAAAATTGCTGAGTTTGAGATACACTGATCTGAACTGTCCCTATGTTCATCTCCTGGTACATTTCATGACTTGACTTTCTAAATATGGCTGAGCTGACAATTTTAGTTTCCCTGGTAAGTGTATGTCAGGGTTCAAACGAATGCCCTAATTAACTCATGAGCCTTGAGACAAGTTTCAAAAGAAATCCACTTATTTATTAGGAGCAACATGTCAGCAACAACCCAAGTGTAGTCAACTCTGCCACACCAAATTTAGGGCTCAACTCTGACCCTGCTTACCCCCTCCTCTCAAGCTCTGTTATAAATCACATTCTCCAATGAAGCACTTTCACGGGCTGTAGAAAACACATCTCACAAGCAGGCTCTGGTAATCTGAGATCTAAACATGGAGGAAGACAGTGATGGGATTCAGCCAGTTTGCACCATTTCAGGAGAACCGGTTGTTATCTTTCTGAGCAGTTTGGCAAACTGGTTGTTGGAAGAAATCCTTAGGGCAGAGAATCG